TGAATCTGATGAAGATGTAGCTGATGAAAGTTTAGCTGTTGGTATTACAGGAGCAGTTGAAAAGAAAACGTCCAAGAAGGCCTCTGTAGGTGGGATTACTTCAAGCGCTGAGACAAAATTAATAACCTCAGAGATGGCAGATGTTGAAGCTTCAAATGACAGTGAGAGTGAAACTGATGAAGATATAGCTGGTGAAAGGTCAGCTGTTGGTATTAAAACGAAGAATGAAAAGAAGACTCCCAAAAAGACCGCTGTAGTTACTCCAAATTCTGCAAAGAAGTCAATAACCTCAGAGATGGCTGATGTTGCATCAGCAAGTGACAATGAGAGTGAAACTGATGATGATATAGCTGATGAAAGGTCAGCTGTTGGTATTAAAAGTAAGGGTGAAAAAATAACTCCCAAGAAAACGACTATAGTTACTCCAAATTCTGCAAAGAAATCAATAACCTCAGAGACAGCATATGTTGCATCAGAAAGTGACAGTGAGAGTGAATCTGATGAAGATATGAATGATGAAGACACAGCTGTCAGTATTACAAGAAAAGTTGAAAAGAAGACTCCTAAGAAGAGCACTGTAGGCGGGGTTACTCAAAATTCTGCAAAGAAGTTAATAACCTCAAAGATTTTGGAAGTTGCATCTTCCAGTGACAGTGAGAATGAATCTGATGAAGACATAGCTGATGAAGAGCCAGCTGCCAGTATTACAACAGAAGTTGAAAAGAAGACTTCCCAAAAAGGCCTCTGTAGGTGTAGTTACTCCAAGAGCTGAGAAAAATTAATAACCTCGGAAACAGCAGATGTTGCATCTTTGAGTGAATCTGATGAAGATATTGTCGCCTATTATAAAAAAAGGTGCAAAGAAGCTCACAAGAAGGCTCTGTAGGTGGAGTTACTCCAAGAGCTGACAAGAAAGTAGCATCTTCAAAGAGTGTAAAAATTGCATCTTTAAATGAAGATGAGAGTGAATCATGATGAAGGTTCAGGTGACTGTATTAAACCAAATATGAACAAAAGTTTTCGAAGCCTGCCTCTGTAGATCTAGTTACTCCAAAAGCAGGAGAAGAAAAGCACGTCTTCAAAGAGGGTAAAAGTGGCTTCTTCAAGTGACAATGATAGTGAATCTAATGAAGATATTGCTGATGAAGAGTTAGCTCTCGGTGTTCTAAGAAAAGGTGAGAAAAAGGCCTCTTTATGTGGGGTTTCTCCAATAGCTGAGAAGAAAGCTACAGAGAGTGCAGAAGTTGCATCTTCAAGCGACAATGAGAGTGGAACAAAAGCTATGAGAAAGAAATTTGGAAAGACTCCTACAGGTGGTGTCGCTCTAAAGGGTCAGAGGAAACATTTAGCTCCAGACACTATGGATTATATATCTTCAGGTGCTGAACATAATGAGAGTGAATGTGATGTAGCAATTGCTGATGTCCAGAAAAGTAAAAGCCCCAATTCACCAGCCAAGATTCACACTCAAAAGGCCCAGAAGAGGGTTGGTGGTGATTCTGAAGAAGTACATAGTGATGTTCATTCCACGTCCTCAGTAGTTCGCCGTAGTACTAGAAGGAAAGCTTTTGATACTGGTTCCAGCGCATCAGAGACGAGTGATCTCATACCTGGTACTCCTACTCGCTCCAAGAGAAGTAGAAAATCATTTCCTGTGGTTACATTATCTGAGACACCAATAAAAAGCTGGAAATCCAGGAAATCCATTGCCACACTAGTAACTGGAAGTGAAGAGGTTGAAAACCAAAGGTGGGTTATAAGACTTATTGTTGGATTTATAATAAATTAACTGACATTTTATATTCTAGAATATTGCATTTTACGATCTACACAAATTTGACGACTTGTAAAAGTCAAAATAAATGGGAAAAAATACCATCAGCAGGCAATGTGTTACACTTATTCTGTTCCAGTTACCATGTCGATACAAAACTATAAATACTGGACGGCACAATTTATGGTTTGGTCATTTCACAGTACAGACACAGACTTTTTTAGCTCCGCTGTCGACTTTGTCGAGCGGAGCTTATCATATGAGTGATTGTCTGTCGTCGTCTGTGTTTACTTTTTCGACTTCTTCTTGAAAACTACAAGCCTGAATGCTTTGATACTTGGTGTATATGTACCTTGGGTAGACCTCTCTCAGATTTGTTCATTTCATGATCATATCTTCAATTCTCTAATTTTGGCAAATATTTTTGTCATTTTTGGTAAAAAGTGATATTTTCGACTTCTTGTTAAAAACCACAAGTCCAATTGCTTTGATATTACATATATAGGTACTACATGTGGACCACTCTCAA